GGAATGTATTAAGCACATGGATTTATGAATTACAGTGAACTTTTGTATAAAACGAAGTAAATACAAATGGAGTAACATGAGATAGAAGTAAACATAGTAATAAAAAGAAACTACATAAACTTAAAGGAAGTTAATCCCATTTTACAATATAAATATTGTTCAATTGTAGCAAAGAAGTAGTTTTGAAAACTAGCCACTCCAGATCAATCTATGTTTGGAAAACTAAAATAAAGAAAAAATAAATAAATAAAAATATTTTTCAAAAACTTAGTTTGGTGTGAAATTTTGCTTAAAATTCAAATGTTTTTTTTTTTTAAGGATAAAACACATAATTTTAAAATAAAACAAAAAAATTAATAAATAAATTAGTTATCAATGCATGGGCTCAGGTGGCAATGCTGCTTCAATTGTGTGGTAGACCATGTGAAGTAAACATGACAATAATAGTAGGTTCTAAAGCACAAAAATATGTGGATAAATTTCATATATTGAGGTGCGGAAAACATATACACACGGGCAACTAAAAATAATAGATCCACTATAAGGGCATTTGGTCTAGTGGTATGTTTTTTTTTTTTTTTTTACAAATTAGGTGGAATGAACAAACAAAAATAATGAGTTTAAAATTACCAAACAAAATATCAATTTTCAAATGGAATGGAGACAACAAGAATATACAAAGGAAATTTTTGTATATATGATTCTCTTCAAATCTTGGAAACTATGTGGATTCCTCTCCTTTCTTGACATAAAGACTTACTTTTTCGGGATTTGGACAATAAACAGTTATCTACTCTTACTCCTACTCCCTTCTCTAAGAATCAACATAGCATAATCATTCCATGAAGGCCGAGGTAGTCTTATAAAAGAAGATGAGGGTACCACTTTCAAATCATTCCATGAGGACTTGAGAAAGTTTTGTAAAAGAAGATGAGGGTACCACTTTCTATTGCATAATTTCTATGTTAATAGAGAATGAACCATGTTCTTGGGAGGTAAGATAGAGCCTCGAGCCTAACATCAAAGGCATTACACAAATTGTTCTATGATATTTTTTTTAGGAACTCTTTGTTATGTTGTCCGCGGAAGGTTTCACGAAAGGGACACAGATTCTCTATTGCACTAATCTCCCAATAGAAGTTTTACCTAGGTCATCTATCGTCACAATCCTTTTAAGGAAGATTCGCCCAAATAACCAATGAAGAAGTTTCAGAGAGCCATAGGTTCGAATTCTGTCACCTTGATGTGGTATTCTTAGGGGCCGAAGTGCAAAGCCCCATAGCCTATCTGTGGTCAGGAAGGCAGGCGAACCGCGCACACTAAAAAAAAAATAGATCTCCTTTTCTATAACACGTAGCATGTCATTCTTTTGTCTTTTGGAACCCCTTACCTTATCAGTCATCAGGTAGGTTTTTGGTATCATATATGGAGATAATTATTATGAAAAAGCTATTCCACTAGTGTGACTGAGATACCCTTTCTTTGTGGTATCAGTCATGCTATTTGAATAGCTTGAAGTCATCATAGCCTCTCCGCCGGTTCCGAAGACTCCTTCGGTATCAATGTGCTCCATTGAAAGAGATCAGACCCTTTCCTAAACTAGAACCGGGCACAAAACGCCGAGAAGAAAGTCGAAAGCGAGCTCTTTTCGTGTATACGCAATCTCAAAACCCAATTAGCTCACGGACTGTCTCCTCAACCCTGGCGAGTATGAGTGCTTGGTAAGAGAGAATGTCGAATGAGAAGGACATTCGATTACGGCAACATTCGCAACTACCAAAGTGCACTAAACCTAGTAGAGATCTTCGACCTAACGATAATGGAACTTCAAGCCCATTTAATCAATCCGCTTTGTACCTTATTGTTGACCGAATCGGATGCACACCAGGCCTAAATTGATAGAAAGACGTTCGAGAGCTGGAAGGGCCTATTGTGAGGGAAATTTCCTTTTCACGGTAGGCAAAGGTAAAGCGGGAGCTGCATATGTCCACGGTGATCAAGGCAGAGCGACTCCTTCTTTAGAAGAGTTTGGTTTTATCGAAACTGTTAGATCCGCTTTCATTAAAGAAAAAATAAGAGCTCTTGGTTCGGTCGATGTCGATTTGTATGGCAATGCGGACTCGACTCAGGATGTGGATTCCACTTTTCATACTGCTGCTATGAGCCGAAAAAGCTGGTAAGCTATCTCGCTAAACGAAAGGAAAGAGCACGTACGGGTTGACCTTGTTACGAGGGGCGGGGCCTGCCAAAGAAGGTCAGTCGGACTAGGTTAGGACCCTTGATCCGGTTCAGCTAGGTTCTTGTTGGGTTTTATGTCCTAAAACTCATAGTTTGTAAACAAAAACATATTCTATTTTCAATAAAGTTATTATTGTTGTTTATTCAGTAAAGATTGTTATTGAATAAAGTGAACTTTACGATCATTAATCTAAATCTAATAAACTAAGAACACTCTGGCTGTAGTATGATTACTTGAACTATATGTAGAGACATAAAAGTGGATCAAGTTCAAGTATATATAGTCAAAATGATCTATAGTATAAGGATAAGGCTGAGTACCTTATTCTGGGGACACTATGGGTGCGGCCCACTTTTGTATATGATATAAACAATGTGATCACTAAATTGTACATGTGGAGACATGTGATTGGGGGCGTCCTATGCAATGAGTATTGCATAAGATTGGACCTTGAAGAAAACCACTCTCACTTTATAATGTCGTTTACTATTGAGACTGATTTTCTTTTCATTCGATAACCTAGGTAACTCGTTTTTAATCCTGAGCTAACCATGAACTCCTGTTTATTGGGAATTATCCTTAGATTTGCATGGGTGAGAGTGGCTCTAGTTCGCCGACTCAATAGGCCTCCCATTTCAGGGGTAAGACTGGGTGAATGGCTAGGGACGTGGGGTGCAAGATGGAATTCACTCCTACCCACTTTTAAGGATATTAGAGAGGTAGTTCCCTTAAGCACTGACTCCAGGTCTTGAACAAGGGGCCACACCCTCTCATTAGCCTGAGAGGGATTCAGTTTACTGGTTGGACCACAAACCAGTTGTTCATTAGAGGATCAGTGAGACATAAGGAACAAGAAGTAACTTTAGGGGTAAAACGGTAAATTGACCCAGCTCTAGTTACGAACAACTTGTGAAGGATCGACTTACTAATCATGGTTATATCAAATGGATAGAAATATATCTATAGTGAGGGGAGTGCAACTACTAGGCTATAGTGGAGTGTCCTAGTAGTTAACGAATGTTGGTTAACAAGATTAATGAGTTTAATCAGTTATTGGATTCAAAATTCTAGAGTTGTTTTATCTAACTCGTTGTGATCTTGAGCACCTTTAGAGTGGTTGCAGAAGTAACCCTCCAGTGTTGATTGAAGCTCTTATAGAACATGTAATTTTATATATTTCTTATAGTTAATTTATATATTGTTGTATATTACAAACAAATTAAAATAATACTTTACATCCCAGTCTTTCTTTCTTCCGTGCAAAACTTAACATGAAAACTATATTATTTCAATATTCACTCGAGAAACAAGGGGTGAAAACTATATTATTTCAAACCCTCCATTATTGCTTCTACTTGGCGTGAAAATGCTTTCACTAAACCATGTTACTAACTGCCATGTTTGGTTCGGTTCAATTCTTAGGTCCACTAGATTGAATCGACCTAGTTCAATTAAAATCTTGATAATATAAAAATCATAAGTTTCTTAAATTAGGTTAACTAAAAGTTTAACCCCTAATTTTTTTTAGAATATTTATCTTTGTGTCTAGTTGATCTCTAAATGCTTAGAAGTATCTAATAAGACTTCTATATAAGGAACTTTCCTCTATAAAAGATGTAAGACTTCAGGTTTATTATTAAGGAATTTCAAATGAGCGATTTGATATATCAAAGAGGACAAAATATTTATTTGTTTCAAATATCTTATGTTGACCATTCTTTTTCTAATGGCATTAGATTGAATCTCATTAATAACAATATCCCAAAACTCAGGTAAAGATGACATCAAAATTAATACTTTAATTTCATCTTCAAAATTTATTTCCACTTAACTCAGTTGACTTATAATCATAATAGTGATTTATTCAACAATAAGGATGTTAGCATGCATTTGGAAATGAACCATATCTAAAAAATTTAGATAATATAGAAAAGAATTGTAATCTCAAAGACAATGATACTATGTGAAACTAGCCTCAACTTAACTCTTAGGGGCGGTAAACCAACGGTTCCTTCACCCAAGACCATGGCCCAACTCCTAATATGGAATGGATAATCTAGAGAATCATTCCAAGAACCCTAACGGATGGGTTACAAACTCACATTATCAAGCTCGACAACAAACAATGTCGCCGGTAAACTTAGGAATAAAAATAGGAGATATTTTATAGATTTAGGAGGAGTAAGTGAAAACAAAAAGAGAGTCATGACCCATTTTCGGTGGGTTCTCGAAGCACGGATTGCAAGTTAAGAGAGGTTGGAAACAAAGTAGAATGTTTTCTCGAAATAAAAAAAGAAATAAAATATAATGAACACATATATTTACAAAAAATCTTAGTTTTTGACCATGTTCATAGTGGGTGCTTGGATATCACACTCTATTCTTGTCTGAGAACAGTGGCCCTTAGGTTCTAAGTACATGGTTCTTTTCATTTAGACATTCGGTGGTCGGCTTTGTCCAAAATAAAAGGGCCCAACCAGATTCGAACTAATGACCTCTTGATCAGCAGTCAAATGCTCTACCACTGAGCTATGGACCCATTTTTCATGATTTCAACCTTAGTGACCCCTTCTACAGAGAGTCGGTCCAAAAGTGAAAAAAGAGTCTGTCTAAAATAAAAGGGCCCAACCAAGTTCAAAAGGGTGACCGGTCAAATTCTCTACCACTGAGCCATGGATCCATTTTGTAGGATTTTAACCTTAGTGACCCCTTAGACATAGTGTCGGTCCAAAAAGTGTAACAAATTTCTATCCAAGATAGAAGGGCCCAACCATGTTCGAATTGGTGACCTCTTGATCAGCAATCAAATGCTCTAACATTGAGCTATGGACCCATTTTGTATGATCTCAACCTTAGTGACCCCTTCTACAGATTATCAGTCAAAAAGTGACCCTACCGAATCGGCTATGGACCAATTTTGTACCGAATCGGCTACCTTTACATCTACAGACCCACTGTCACTCCTAATTCAGCTATCCACGCTAACATTAAAATGAAAATTCATCAGTAAAATTATTTACGCTAATTCATTGAAATTTGAAAAAGAAATCATCTCTAAATTTAGATAAGATAATAAGTTATACTACTTGAATCATGTGTGGTGAAGGTCGAACCAACACGTGACCTTCGAATCTTCAATATTACAAACTCCCAACTAAGCTATCCCCTATAACATTCAAAAAGAAAATTTTGAAATTTTAAAAAGAGAGAATCACTAAATTTAGATTAAATAGTGGAGTAATTTTAAAAAGAAATAATCACTCATTTTAGATTGAATTCATCCGTAAAGACTATAATATTAAAAATAAAAATTCATCCGTAAAGACTATAACATTGAAAATGAAAATTCTGAAATTTTAAAAAGAAATAATCACTAAATTTAGATTAAATAGTCAACTAATTTTAAAAAGAAATAATCACTCATAAAGAGGAGAAGTAGACAATTGAGAAACAAACTTTCAATGTTGCTTCGAGAATTACAAAGGACGGAATGAAATCATTTTTCAACCCGATAACTGGGTTTGGATACATTTTCACAAGGAGTGATTCCCATCTCAAAGGAAGACAAAGTTACATCCAGGAGGGATGACACTTATCAAGTCCTTGAAAGAATTAATAACAATGCATATAAAATGATCTTCCAGGAGAATTTTCAGCACATTCTACTTTCAATGTTGCTGACTTGAGTCCTTTTGATGTAGGTGATGATTTTCTGATTTGAAGAGGGGGAAGATGATATGGATCACGGTGTTCCAAATGTTTCAACTAGACCTATTACACGATCCAAGGCCAAGAAGATTCAACAAGCATTCATTCTTCATCTACAAAATTGGATAGGCTCGGTTCAACTATTATTTCATGTGTTACAAGCTTATTAGATTAAGAAAGGACCATTTGGAGCTTCAGAAGTGAATATTTACACTGAAGGAGCAAATGAAGTTGCAAGCATCATTACATGAGTTGTTAGAAAACTTTATTTATTTTTAATTTCATAAAGTTTGTAATGGTAGAATTGTCAAATTGACTTTGTTTTTTTTTTTTCTTTTTTTTGGAGATTTAAGGGGATCAAGATTAAATCCCGACCACTAACTTATTCTGTGGAAGACTATAAATACCCACAAATTATTATGTAAAAATCAGATTTGTGATGAATGAAATTGATCTTTGAAGTTGAGAAGTTCCCCTTAAAAATTCGAGCATCATCTATGCAAGTTTCATGCCATTCTTGTCTAGAATTGTGGTTGAGTGAAATTCCCAACCTTCTACTTATTTTTTGGGATTTCTTTTCTCCCTATTCATTGTAATTTATCCTGATACAAAGAAGTTTATTTTTGTAGGGAATGTATTAAGCACATGGATTTATTAATTACGGTGAACTTTTGTATAAAACGAAGTAAATACAAATGGAGTAACATGAGATAGAAGTAAACATAGTAATAAAAAGAAACTACATAAACTTAAAGGAAGTTAATCTCATTTTACAATATAAATATTGTTCAATTGTAACAAATAAATAATTTTGAAAACTAGCCACTCCAGATCAATCTATGTTTGGAAAACTAAAATAAAGAAAAAATAAATAAATAAATAAAAATATTTTTCAAAAACTTAGTTTGGTGTGAAATTTTGCTTAAAATTCAAATGTTTTCTCTTTTTTTTTATTTTTTTTTATTTTATAAAAGGATAAAACACATAATTTTGAAAAAAAAAAAAAAAAGTTATCAATGAATGGGCTCGAGTGACAATGCTGCTTCAACTGTGTGATAGACCATGTGAAGTAAACATGACAATAATAGTAGGTTCTAAAGCAAAAAAATATGTGGATAAATTTCATATATTGAGGTGCGGAAAACATATACACACAGGCAACTAAAAATAATAGATCCACTATAAGGGCATTTGGTCTAGTGGTATGATTTTTTTTTTTTACAAATTAGGTGGAATGAACAAAAATAATGAGTTTATAATTACCAAACAAAATATCAATTTTCAAATGGAACGGAGACATAAGACCATTCAAAAAAAGAAAAGGACAAAAGAAAATTATTAAATACATTTTCAACTAACGCATTTGGTTGAGAGATATTATGACCAATATAAGAAAGATATAGCATTAACTAATTTTCATGGACACATATGGATCCTTAGCATACTAAAATCTTACCATACTAAAATGACGGTTATCATTGGTATCAAACAAATAATAATTCATATCAGCTAAATCTTCCAATTGATAATTAGGCCAGAGAAAGATCTTGAATTTATTTTTATATCTATCAACATGTTTGCTACTTTTATCTAAAACTTGATCACGAGTTTTTCTTATTTGCATTGTAAAATTATGTATTTCTATGGATATCATTTCTATTTCTAGAATTGAAACAAAAATATGTGCATAAATTTCAAAAGATATGGACCAGCAACTAAAAAAGATAGATCCACTGCAAGGCATTTGGTCTAGTGGTATGATTCTCGCTTTGGGTGCGAGAGGTCTCGAGTTTGATTCTCAAAATGCCCCCAACAATTATATCAAATTGAAGAATGCAATATAATAGATTTGAAATAGGTTTTTTAAACCTTGAACCAAGAAGTAATTCAGATGGATATTTGGAAAAAAAAAAAGGAGCTATATTTAATTATAATTTACCGTGTCTTTATAACATGTTAATTAAAGAGAGGAAACAACAAGAATAAACAAACAAAGGAAATTTGTGTATGTATGATTCTCTTCAAATCTTGGAAACTACGAGGATTCCTCTCCTTTCTTGACATAAAGACTTACTTTTTCGGGACTTTGACCATAAACAGTGAACAATAACATTTAAAGAAGGTCGAGGTAGCATAATCATTCCATGAAGGCCGAGGTAGTCTTATAAAAGAAGATGAGGGTACCACTTTCAAATCATTGCATGAGGACTTCAGTTTTGTACAAGAAGACGAGGGTACCACTTTCTATTGCAGAATTTCTATGTGAATAGAGAATGAACCATATTCTTGGGAGATAAGATAGAGCCTCGAGCCTAACTTCAAAGGCATTACACAAATTATTCTATGATATTTTTTCTAGGAACTCTTTGTTATGTTGTCCGCTGAAGGTTTCAGGAAAGGGACACAGATTCTCTATTGCACTGATCTCCCAATAGAAGTTTTACCTAGGTCATCTGTCGTCACAATCCTTTTAAGGAAGATGCGCCCAAATAACCAGTGAAAAACAACATTTAAAGAAGTTTCAGAGAGCAAGAAGAGGATTGTGATAGAAGTTGCCCTAGGTAAAACTTCTTTAAATGTCTTAGCCAATCATGACCTCATAATGAGGAGTCTCTTGGACAACAATAACATATGGACAACAAATGTCTTAGCCAATTATGACGGTCATGATTGCTCAAGGCGTGTCGCCCAAATAATCGGTAAACAATAACATTGCCCAAATAACCGCCTTGGACAACAAATCGTTTACAAGAATTTTTGAGACATGCAACATGCAACCACAGGCAACACGCCTTGGGCAATCATGATTGTGACATCTGCCCCCACACAATTTATTAGATGAGGCTGACTTTAGGTCTCTCGATGCGCTTTCAGCTGATCTCATAATGAGGAGTCTCTTCCAACCTACTAGGTGCTGTTGAAAATCACTTCTCGGTTTGTTGAGTCTTCATGTCTTCTATGTTCGTGTCTTTCCTACTTTCTTCGCTTGAAACTTTTTCTTATTTGTATGACGTCATACCACCTGTTTCTGCTTGATGTCTTTTTGGTAGAAATAATAACGTTTCAAGTTACTAATGCGGACAACAAGGTTAGTCCGCATCCATAAGAGCAATTGGATTCTATATGATGTCTTCGTAATCTTATGGATAATTTTAACTAGTCCATAGTATTTTCACACCAGTCTTTGGTTCTTGTTGCTTTGAACTCGAAGTTATTTGAACTTAACTTATATGAACTCTTTATTTTTCTTGAAATTATTGTGGTTGACGCTTCCAACTGATCCTTCTCTTCATCCGTCTAGATGATATTTCTGTGTGAACACGTGTTGCTTCAGTGGTTTGTTTCTGTCTCCCTTCTTAAGTATCTGACCATTTTTTTGTCTCTCCTGGTGGGGATAAATCCATTATCTGACCTTGTTTTACGTCGTGGTGTTCATGTAGTGGCAACAAGGTTTCTATTGAGGTTGGCTCACTCGAGCTCCCCTTTTCAATTACAACAATAGCAGCAAGCGTAGATTCATCATGGCTATGATTCTTTCTCAACTGTAGTATCACATCATTTTCAACCCTCTTGGTTGATGGATGTTTTTCTGAATGATCGTCGAGTTAGACTCCATTACTACTAGACATTTTGCTAGGGGCATATAACTAACTTTGTGTTTCAGCAGGGCGTTCATTCCTGACACGATGTCGAAGTCATCCATTTCAACTATCACTAAAAATTTTGCCTAGTCCAAGGCTCCAGCTTGATTAGAGTTCTCATTGTGACTCTTAAGACAGGTAAAGCTTCCAAATTGACGGCGTTCATCTTTCCTGTATCTTGATGCCAAAGGATGTTAAAATATTTTGCATCGGTCTCCATCATGAGTTGTGGGTGGCTCTAGAGTTGACAATGGTGTTCCTTACTACTTTGTGCTTTACCCAAACCTCGACATACATAATATATATATATATATATATATTCATTTAACTATAACACATATGGTCCATGGATGAATTGTAACTCTTATGCTCATTAATATTATAATGGCTACTACCTAAATTATAACCTAAAGTTGATAATTGATGTCCAATTAGCCAACCCTAAATTTGTAATCATTGTGGAGTGATTGAAATTACAATGGAA